TCTTGTTTCCAGGGCTCTTTATTGGTGTTCCTGTTTACAGCGGGATCTCTCAGGAAGTTGGTTAGCCAAATTGAATGCATATATACTAACAGGCAATCAGACTATTATTTGTATTTTACAAAGTTAAGTTCTGACAGGAACTCTTCCTGTCCATATTCTTCTCAATTAGGAGGTAGGTCAACACAATCATGCTTTGTTAGGGAAACAAGGAAGCCCACTGAGAGGCTGAGGGATCCCCATAGGAAGCCCTGATAGACAGAGGCTTTGAATTTATAAATCAAAACATTTCCACTTTATTGGATTTATAAATAAAAATAAACAAGACCACATCTTCTTTCTGGACTACCAGACTATCTGAAAACTTGGCAGGTTGACTTGTGTTTTGTCTTCATTGTTCAAAATGCCATTCATTACATAACCATTTCCACCTTTTAATTTAACTTTAGTGCCCCAGCATATGAAAGTGTTGGCTTGAATTTATTTTGGTGGATTAATATCACATATTGGACAGAAGGTCTATAATTTCCTTAACATATGAAGTGCTTATGATCACCCACAAGTGACACATTTTAAAATTCATTAGAGATCTCTGACATGCTCTCTTCTCGAAAAGGTTCCAGAGAGCACAGATGTCCATTAGTTATGCAGGTGCTGCTGGTTAACTTTTCTGATTGAGGAAATCATCACTGTCCATGGGAAAAACAGCCTCCCAATCTGCAGAGATGTATGGGATTATTAGATGCTACTGAAAATGTCTTCCACAAACTCCTACACACATTCCTTAGTTGGTTTTAATCATAAAGGTCTGATTGGTAGAAAGTACAGTCCTACAAGAATAATAGACTCTTTTGCTGAACCATTGTTTATCCAATAGTCCCTGGGATAGACAGCCACATGGGCAACACCCATGAGCTTTTTAGAAGTAAACATTCTTTGCTTAAGATCTGCTGAACCAGAAACTATAGTGATTCTCATCAAAGAAAACTCATGATTTTTCTGAAAGTTATTTGGATGTATTTGAAGAAAAGTTTCTCCTGAAAATACAGTGATGTACAAATTAAGTTATTATTTTACATTTATATTTAAGTGAGCACTGTTTGGTCATAGATGGGATACTTCATTTTCATCTTTCATGTATTTATTTTGAATTTATTAGAATTAACATAGGTGAATTAAGGATTCATCAGCATTGCATTAAAGGATGGGGACAATCCGAAGAGGGGTGTGGGCTGAGTGTAGTTTAAGTTAGTGTTTCCAGTGTACAAAGCTACTCTTTTGATATTCCCTGTCCATCTTTTAAGTCACATGATTTCAGGAATATTTCATTCAATTGCATACACCCTCAGTTTTCACAAGTTAGTGTAGAAAATCATAAACTATATTGACAGATGTTAAAATTAGCAAACTGTTGATCTAGATAGACAATACACAGTTTTTAAAATCTCATTTGAATTTATCTTTCATACTCATCAGACCAACTCCAGAAATATATATGATGTAAATATATATGATCATATATTTATATTTAACCCCTTATTCCTTTAATTTTATTAAATTCTCACTGCTAGTTTCCAGTTCAACAATGTCAAATATGAATGGTACTCACATGAAAACTTAGAAACAAACAAAACAGAAATTCTCTAGCCTAGAATAGCTGAGATACCACAAAGATTTACCGAAGAAGCTCCCAATCAAAACTCACTGTGCTGTTAAGGTAGGTTTTGTAATATGCTAATCACCATAAAGGCATTAAGATGAAACTGTTTCTAGTTATTCTATCTGTAATGTATTCAGTCTTCTGAATAAATCAATAAGTAAAGCTTGAATATGTTATTAGCATATATCTTAGATTGTTTAAAAAAAGTGACGTAAATGCATTGTGAGGATAGTGAGTTCCATGTGGCTCCTGTTGAATAATGGTGGATGCTTGCCAAGCTGTAATAACACAATTCTCATCCTGAGCACTACTGAACAGAGTTTTACTAGTGGGATCACTACTAAATGCCCTAAAGAGTGCCACCCAGTGATAACTATGAAGAAATCATAATCACTAGTAATTGTAAGAAACATTTAGCCTTCCAAAACCCATACAGCCTTCAGTGTATATAAGTACTTCATTATAAGAACTTCATATATAAGTACTTTCATATAGCACTATTTGGGGAATCACATAAAGAAACAAATTATACTAGACATTTCAATGAATGCCTTGATCTATTTAAAAACCAACGAAGAGTATAATTACTGTCTTCATCTTTGAGATAGAAGACTGAGGTTCTGAAAACTAAACCCTTGACCATGCTTATTAAATTTGTGAGTGATCATATGGTGAGCCCACCTAACTTTCTGAACTCAGCATTACTTATAGACTATTTTATGTCATTACTAATTCTTTCACAAGGTCTCCTACAAATGTAGACAATATAGAAAAATGAATGAAAAATTTCCTATCAATAAAAACTAATGAATTAAAGTTCTACATTCTGTACTTATCCTCTATTTCAAGTATAATTAACATTTCCTGTAATACTAACACGTAATGTATTCTAGACAGAAATCATGATAACTAGAAGCTATTCCAAGGCCTGAATGTATTTCAAATGGGGTGAAACTTTATTCTTCACATTAAGTAATTTCAAACTAGCAGGACACTTTTCTATGCAAGCTTAAATTCCTTACGTCTTATGGTCTTGTCTTAACAATAATTCTCCTTAGTGCTAAGCACAGTCTTTTTCCACCATATTTTTCTGATCTGAGAAACTGGTGGTGAGTTTTAAATGTGGACTATGAGTTAAATGATAGTATTGCAACATTAAATGCTGAGATTTGGGAAATGGGGGTCGGGGATTGGTAGAGTTGTTGCCTTCATTTTCCCTAAGTGGTTTTTCAAGGGTCATTTGAGCAAAATCCTAATTTATGTGGCAATTGCAATTGAGCTTTGCTGGTGTGGACCAAGAATGCTAATTAGTTTTAGAGGACTTGAAGAGCATGTAGTTCAACCTTGAAGTTGGTAAGTTTTCAGTTCAATGGAAAAAAACCTCAACAAGAGTAGACCAGCAATGGGGGTTCCACCCTCCTGGGTGGTTGGCAGGTAACGCCCCAGCCAAGAGGACTGTAAGTGTGGTTTGCCTTTGGTATAATTGGAATTAAGAGTCTTTTGTGCCAAGTGTCAAGACTGTGAAATAAATGATCTTGTGTGCTGTGTGCTGAGACCCAGAACAAAGCTAATATTGATTTGTATACTTTCTTCCTCTTTTGATTTTACTGTAACAATGTATTTCTTTCCTTTACATTGATTTAAAGCAAATTGAAGGCAAGTTTATTGTCTACTAGCAATTAACTTAAACATGTATTGAAATCTCTTTTCTTGTTCATTTAAAACAACTTAATTTGTATTCAAAATTTAAAAAATTAAACTCAAATGCAAAGAGATTGCTAAAGAACAGATATGCTCCTGTATTATACTGAAGGTATATAAGAAAATCTGGATAATAAGCATTAGGGTTCTTCTATAAGTCAAGTTAATTCAACATTACTTTTCTTATTCACCATTGATCAGGAAAGCTTCAATAGAAAAATTTTTAAATATTGGTAATCGAATGTTCATCTTCATTAAGAAAAATGAGCAGCGTTGTGACATTAACACTCATTGTCATCTTATAAACACTGAAATACATCAGCTGTGTTTTCAGTGTATAACTTGTAACACATGACTGCCATGCAAATTCACTCCACTGGGCTGAACAATAGATACAAATTGGATTATAAGCTCCAGCGCAACAAAATCAAATTATAGCTTTGTGAATGAAATACCAAACTAAGCACTGAATAATTTTTATTTATTTATTTATTTTAGATCACAGAGCATGAGAATTGAAATTAAGGGCTTGAAGCTAGAGGGGACAAGTGATCCTTAAATTTGTAATTTTATCTGTATCTTTTCTTGTTAAAGAGGTATCTATACTTATAGCCGTTAATAATAACAGTGGCAGGATTTCTTTCTTGGATATTTTGGGAAAGTTAAAGTTAAAGAACTCGTGGGATATGTTACAATTAAAAACAAATAGGAAAGCAAATGGAAAACAGAAAATTTACAGTAAAGTTTAAGACCAAAATGTTAACTATAAAAGTAGACAGGTTCGGAATATATTTTCTTCTTAACACAGAGTAAGTTTTTCATTTTATTAAAACTTAATATCCTGCTTATATTGATAAGAAAATAAAAATAATACAGAACTGAGTGAAGTAAGAAAAATTATCTGACATCAAACAAAAACAAAGAAAAGTTTAAGACTTTGAAATTAAATGATATCTCCACTTTGAGGTAAGATTAGTTGTTACAATTAAAAAACAATAGAGTAAAATATAGTAAGTCATCTGAACAAATAAGTAGCTAAAGTATATTTATTACATATTTATTTATTAATATAAATAAAGTGTATTTATTAGTTTATATGTCCCATTCATTGTGAGAGGTATTGGAAAATTTCGATTTTTCCTCCATTATGTGCATGTGTGTGTCTGTGTGTCTGTGTCTTTGTCTGTGTGTCTGTCTGTGTGTCTGTGCATATATTCTTACTAACTAATTTGGTCATTTTTGAAAACATTTCTGCATATCTTATGTAATGGTGCGGGCAAAATTTGTCCTATACATATAATTTAGTCTTTGTTTATGCATTTGTCGACGGATGTGTCTGTATTTCAACACATAGAAGAGTTTATGTGTTTATAGTCAACCATGCCAGTCTGGTGTATGAATTTTCCCTCTTCTTTTTCATCTCTTGGGATGGTCTAAGCCCTCACCAGCTCCTTCCTCCAACTCTGCTAGATGAGTCCTTTATTTGGAAGTTGGAGCAGGATTCGAGCCTATGTGGCCATGGAGCCTAATGACCATTTCTTTAGAGTTAGACTTGGCTGTGGGAGCTTGTGACAAATCTTCCCACAGCGGTCCTCCAACTGCTAAGCAGCAAAGATATTTATGTCACAGCTCGTCTCCACACCTGCGGTCAAGGATTTCACGCTGCTCAGGGCTCATTTCATGCGGAGCAAGAGGAAGGGCGCTGAAGCAGCTTTCCCAGGCTGAATATGAGCTCATCTTTCCTGCGAGCTGTCCCACACTTCCCTCAGACTACAAGAAGGGCGGAAAACAGGCAGCAAAGTATGACCAACCGCCTGCACTTTTTTTCCTTATGATGCTGCATTGGGCACAGTTGGATACGCTATGTTTTAAACTGTTAGAACAGAAGAAAATAAAACACTCAGGAGACTACTGGTGTACTTTGTAACACCGAGACCTTGTGCACAGGACATTCCCGTTGATAATTTTATCAGGACTGAAAGAACCGATTTTGTTCTTTAATAAAACATGACTCTCGTGTATGTGGCCCTTCCCTTTTGGGAGCGTTTCCAGCCTCCCGTCCACTGGAGAGGACTGGTTTTCTTTAATTAAGATTTAGGAGGTAAAGATGATTTTAAATGGTTTGTATTAAATGAATTTAAACAGACAGTGCAAAAACAGGTGCAAAAGATCCAAGAAAGTAAATCTACTAAGTGGCTGAATACAACAGAAATTGAGTATGGTATATCCTAGTGCTGGGGGATATTTATTGAGAAATCCAGGTCAAAGAGCACCAGCTTGCGGAACTTGTATGGTGCTTGCCAGTGAAATGACGGACGCCCCATTGTTGGGGCAGCTGATGCTTAGGCTGGCAAGAATCCTGAGAACATGTTTTAAAAAAGACCCTATGCTGGCAACAGGGGTAGAGATGACCTCATGGGACTTCTGAGTCTAGAATTTCTTTGCTTTTATTACCGATTATTTTTGCTGGATTTTTTTGACGTAGTGTTTTTAACTTTAAAACAACAACAACAACAAAAATCTAAACAAAAATAACTGTCTAGTTCCTGAAGTCACTGGAGTTTGCTGCTGTTCTAACAGTGACCTCATCTCACCCCTCATTCGATGTCTGACAAGGTTGTGGGCTGGAGTGAAAACAGCAAGCCACACTCTGTGTTTGGGCTTCTTTTAGAGACCCAAAGTGAGTGTGTCCTCATCAGCTGAAGCATGTAAAATGAATGGCAACACACACTACCAAACATACACAGTTGATTTAATTGATTTAATTCCAGTGTTGTAAGTGTAGACACACAGAGTGCGAGTACTGAAACACATATCATGTTCTCAGTAACTTTTGCCCACAATACATTTGGAAGCGTCATTATATTCTCAGGATAGCATTAGCTCATGAACTTCAACAAAGACTATCCTCACACCTCACAGTAGGATGTTTATGATAGATAAACACCCTTTGGTCTTACTTTATGGATTGGCCTGCCTATTCAGAAATAGTGGTAGAGCTTCTAGAAACTTCTAGAGATATTATTCAGGTGGAAGTAGGCAGAGTGTATTGAGAACTTAGCCTGCATAGTCTAGCTAGTGGCACCCAGCTAGGAGACATTAGAGGATCATTTAATAGAGCCCACTTGTCTTTGAAATTCATGGTGTTCATCATGTCCTCTGTAGGATTTCAACTTATTGTGTGCTAACTGCTGGACAAAGAAAGCTCTTACGGCTATTTGAAAAAGTAAATGGAAAGTATTACATAAGTGATATATTTAATTATCACTCATTACTATGCTAATAATTTCATGGTTTTGGACACAAAAATTTCAAAACCTTAAAATTCAGTAGAAAAATATTGTATATGGATATTTTTATATAACTTTTTCCCTCATAAAACATGATACCGACTATCCTTCAATAACGAACTTGAAGAAAGGTAAAATTATAGGCAGAGAGGCAGAGAGTTTGTGAGAGCTCCTAGAATCACCCAGGTTGTGTTGTCCAGGTAGTGTTTGAATCTGAACACAGGTGCCCCCATCAGGACCTAGTCCCAGTAAGGATTTATTACACTTGGGAAACCATTCTTCACACTCAGAGTAAAAACTTGGTCCTGGTGAACTACTGTGACAGAGCCAGCTATTTCTGTACATTTGTTTCTACTAGGTGGTCTCAGACATACCATCTCATCAAAGTACTCAGAACATGAACGAGGGGTTGTCGTTTCAAGAAAAGAATTTGTGAAACTGTCCTGATGGCTGAGTCTGTAAACAAATGTTTAGTCTATTCAAGCACCCATTCCTCAGGGTTTAGGATGTTCCTGTCTCTAGATGTTCCCAACCCTGTTTTCTTCAAATGAGTCCACACATATCCCCAACTCGGCAAATACTGAGTCATGTGGAGTGCATATGGATAACTTTGACTGAGATTTAACTTATAGCAGGTCTCCATTTCTGCCTTTTTTTTCTGAAGATTTGTCACTCCAGAACTTTTCAGGGACATAATAGGTTCTATATTCCCTAACAAAACTCTTCTCACATGCTCCACAATAAATAGATAAAACACAAAAGCCAACTATCGTTGTGAGCATCTTTCTTCAGTGTTCTTAACTTTATCTTTTGAGACAATGTCTCCCATGGAACCTGATGCTTGCCATTCTGGCTAGGCTGGATAGCCAGAGAGCCCCAGTGCCCTCCTGTTTCCTCTCCCAATATTCTGGTGTTGCGAACATATCCTACTGAGTCAGACTTCTATGTAAGTGCTGGGGATCTGAGCCTAGGTCCTCAACCTGTTCTGCTCTACTGAGTCATTTTCCCAGCCCCCCTTTTTGATAGCTATGGGCAGTATCTCACTTTTCAGATGATTCTCGTGATTATCAGTACTGTACACCCTCCCACTAGGGAAATAGAATGAGAAAGAAAAAGATATAGGACTTTTTGAATATTCTTAATCTGTAAACTGATTCAAATAGCCAGTTTCAGAGGATGATCCTAGCTTCCTGATGTCTGCTTAGCTATGACTGCAGGGAAGATACCAGTGGCTCTGGCGACAACCAATTCTACAGCACCAATCTTGTTTTTGCAAATTTCCAAAAAGTTTACTAAAATGTCTGTAATATTTAAAGACCCATTTTCAATTTTTATATGCTTTTTCTTATATTTGAGAAAGAAAAAAAATAGACACACATGGTATAAATCTTCAAAGCAAAAAGGCATAAGTGGATCTCAAATTAACATATAGACCTCAAAAAGAAGATGCATGAATTCAAAATTCCTTGATTCTAAAAGATAGTTTCAAGAATAAAGTTAATACCCTGAGTATACATTTAAACACTCTAGACATAAAGCAGCTCCATCCTGAGTCTCAGTGCCAAGTTTAAGGGTATATGTCTTTGAACACAAAGGCCACTGAGTGTTAATATTGTGCCACCTACTGGACAGCCTGTCAGCTCCTAAGAAACATACTCACAGCTTGGAAATGTGTATTTTACTTACAAGGCTTCAGCAGAGGTGAACCATATGATCAAAACTCTATGGACTCTTTGATAACAAGTTCTGTTCCTTTTACTATTGTAGGCCAAGTTGTTACTATTGAGAATCATGTATTCAAAATCAATACTAAAATGTTCAAACAAGAATACTAACATATAACTTTCTTTATGGGGCTTTTCTGTGTCCGGAGCTTTAGATCGATTCTCCAGCCTCTATAGAAGATTGATTTATAGGCCCTGGGCTAACAGTGAGGAGGATTTAACAAAATGTTGTAGGAATGTCTCAGCTACTGTCACCTGACACTTTGGGAAAACATCTCAGAACCATCATGGGTTGTTTTTTGTTGGTGATGGGGGGGTCATGGATTGTTTTGTTGGGGTGGTGTTTTTATATCTCCTGTACAGAGGGAATAGAAAATTACACACCCTCTATGCACACAGAGAACACAAATGAGAAAACATTCAAATGTCAGTAAGCAAGTAAATTATTTATTACTACTAATAAAAAAGCTACTGAATTTAAATATTTATATTAAAAAAAGAAAGTCAGTAATAGAAAAGATACAGAGCACACACAGATCTGACTTCTGCAGACCCAGTTAAAGCTAAGTGACATTGGTCAGTATTAATTTGCCTCCCAATGTTTTAATCCCATCTACAGGGTGACTGTTGTCTAATTTACAAAATGGCTGTGGGATTACACAAGGTAAGACACTCATCTCAGGTCCTCAAACTTAGCAGGTCCTTAGTAGAGATTATCAGTGGCACCCATTAAATGCCACAGGGGTGCACATATGCATGCTTTAAAATTGACCAAGGCTAAGAGACAATCTTTGTGAACTGTTATGTTCTATTTCATTCTACCTCCCTGGCTCCGAGTATAGTTAATCATGTTTGTTTTACACTTTTTGTATGTACATTATATGATGGCACACAGAGACACATTTGTGATCCATAATCAAGTGGGAATGACACCTATCCAGGACAGTCTACCATGCCACATGACTGTGACCATAGCCAGTCTTCTTGTGTGCACTTGTTCTCACTGTGCCTAGAGGTGGTTTCATTGTCCTACTCAAAACAGAGCTGTAGCATAGGAAATTACTGAAAATGAACCAGAAGAAGAAGATGATGAAGGAGGAGGAGGAAGAGGAAGGAAGGAAGGAAGGAAACGAAGGAAGGAAGGAAGGAAGGAAGGAAGGAAGGAAGGGAGGAAGAAAGAAGGAGAAAAGAAAGAAAATGAACTGATCACTTTTGCTTTTGTTATGTTAGATATGTTAGCTTTTTGAGAATTTTGGATCTTAATGTCAACTTCGAAACTTGCCAAGGTCAAAAGATAAACCTTTATATCGTAATTTATTTGTTTGCATACTGTGAGTTTTTCATGTGCGTTTGACTAGTTCCCATGAGAGTTTGCTTCAATGCTTCCTGTTGATTTTGGTAAATAAAAAGATGTACCTTTCCATAAACCGCCGTGAAAGCTGGTGTACAAGGTGTGCTTTATTAGAAATATACTTTCTATTTGAAGCTCTATTTACTCTATTGATCATGAACTCACACTTCTTACAAACAACTGACAGACGTTCTCAACACTTTCTAGGAGGCCTGATTGTTTTTTATTTTGTAGATTAAGAAGCACTCTGGATATAAAAGTCTTTCTGAAAGAAAGTGAGTCTAGACGGGAAGGGAGCCAGTGAGAGAGAAGTTAGAAGGGATACATGACTCTTGACTAAAAGTGACTCTCCTAATGTCATATTCTACTTTTAGTTGACAAAATAGAATCTTAAATCTAAAGAGGTGATGGTGAAGGGAATATAGTAGGATAATAAGGCGTAGCGTGGTGCATCATTAGCTGGCTGGCAAGAAACTTAAGACCAATCAGCAATATTGTCCCTAGTTGAAGCAAAACACTTTTTCAAATGGAAGTCCCCTCTTCAGGGATAGAATAATTCCAAAATCATGAAGTTATAAAAGCAGAGTCAATAGCTGTCCCCTTTGCCAAGCCATGTATGTTACACATGTGTGTGGGGCCATTTTCACGTGGTACATTTTACCAGTAATGTTTGGTCATTTACCCTGCATTGATCATCGCATTCAGAACCTTATGCAGAGGCATGACCCACAGAATGAGGGGAAACTGAGGCACACAATGCTAACGTGCTTGCATTAGGCTGTGCTGTCAGTAAATAGTGTGGCGTGTCTGACTTTAGCATATCTGACATCAGAGTCCCAGTGAGTAACTATTGCACCAAGCAGCCTGGGGATGCTGGGGACAGGAAAACTCAAGGCACTATCTCCCTAGGACTTGACAGGTGATAGGAGTTTCTATATAATAAGTTCTGAACAGAGCTACTGCTCCTTTGTCAGAAGTCTACATGGGGCGGAGGAATCCCATAGAGAAATAGTAGGTGGTCAGGAGGGAATTTTGGCCAGATCAGGTTTCAGCCATGTTCGTGCTGCAAAACAGAACAGGTCCAGTTAGCTAGCTCGGGCCTCTGAGGGAGTGTGGAAGCTACTGGAAGGCTAACTCATTATCCTTAAACTGTCTGTGAGGAAGAAACGGCAGGGCCTCATACTCCTGGGGTCACTGGAAATAGCAGAGATAGAATAGAGCTGGTACCTCAGAAAAAATTGGATAGGATTTATGTGGAAAAGTCACTTATTGAATAGAAACTAAAAGCAACAGTTTGAATGCTTGCCTTCAAGTTGTTTGCAAATCCTTTCAAGCAACTGTCAAAGGGAAGATATTGAACGCCAAACTTTGTAAATCGTTTATTGATGTAGGTAAGTAGCAATATAGCCTCCTGGGACACAGGTATGTGCTCATCACTTTAAAAGTAAGTTTCATTTTAAATATCTTATTGTTTTCTAATTCCTTTAATAAATTTTTAAAAATTAACGTTTTAAATGTAAGCTGAAAGAACTTTTCCTTTTGGCTTTGTAATCTTAATAGATTAAGCAGACTGACACCAGTTCTTAAATAAAACTTCTCAGAACTAAAACTAATTAACAACTTTAACATTCCTTGTGCTTTCTGTGTATAGGCTGTCTAATACTGTAAACAATAGATTTATCCATTTAGAGATATTCTTCTGGGAACCTCTTTTCTTCCTATGTGACGGTCACCTTTCCAGGTCAGTGCACGGAGATCTCCCTCCTCCTTTTGAAAGGCTTTCTAGAGCCTCTGTGTCAGCTACAACACAGTTAAGGCTCCTCTCCTTGTGTTTAAGCAGCACCCATTTTAAAAGAATTACAGATAATAATACAAAGAACGTTTTAGGGACACCAAAAGATGAGGACAAAGGTTTACAATTTTGGTTAAGTAGACAAGGAGTAAGGATATTGGGCCAGTAACAATATTTTCAGCTTCTCCTTGATAACTAGAGGTCAAGACCTTTACTTGTAATAACTTTTGCTAATTTTCTGACCTTTTACAGCTCCCTGCTTATACTCTTTCCATTTAAAATATTTGTTCCTTTTCTTTAGTGATTGCCGGAATGTTTCCTGTGTCTGATAAGCTATCTATGGCTCTAGGATATCTGAGTTCAAATTTCAGTTCTGCCTCTTTTTTTGACAAAGAATTTGGGAGTTTCCCGAAGTTGCTCATCATCAGATTGTGTATATACAACTGATGATAAAAAGCACATATTTACTAGTACTTTAAAAAAAATTAAAGCTGGCAAGTAAGACATATAAGCCCATGTTTTACAAAGTGGTGTTTTGATGCACGCATATATGACAGACATTAGCTAAATTAAGCTAATGAAAATGTAGGAAGAAAGAAACAGTTGTTTTTTCCTTAAGTGCTAAAATTAACACAATGATTGTAAATTTTTAGAATAGTATGTTTGCGTGTGTGCATGCATGTGAGTGTGTGAGTGTGTGAGTGTGTGTGCATGTGTATGTGTGTGTGTGCATGCAGAGTGCCATTTTAATGCAACCTATCTGCTTTATGTATAGGAAATACTCTAAGACATAATCATCATTAGGGTACAGTCATCATTTTATGTTTTGCTTAGGATGCTAAGGTCTTAGTTTATAAAATAATATATATTCCCTTACACGTCTCCTAGACAATGATATTCATTTGGGATATCATAGAAGGTATACTTGTTTGATAGTTGTGTATTATTTTCCCACTGGTTTCTTATGCAAAGTTTGTCACTTACTAAACCCCATGACTTCTTTAATTAGAGGCTGATGAGATAAACTTTTCTATTCCCTCCCCGATCTGCCGGCCAAGTTGGGTTGATTGTTTTTAGATTATCATCAGGAAGTGTCTTCCATAGTCTTTTGGTATTACCTACAAGGCCTTTTCCCTTTTGTGGCTCAGCAAAAAGATGTTATTAAAAATCAAGATTATTATCTGATCCAAATTATTTCCACTACCTGCAGTGGACCTGTAGTTCCAAAGACAGATGCCACAAAGTCGTTACTTTTAATGATGGCAGGAGGCGTGACGTGGGCAAAGTACCCAGGCCCTTGAAAAAGAATTTTGAATACTTACACTCACTACTTTTAATGGAACAAAGTTAATCTTTGAAGAAATATTTTAGTCTTTTAGTATAAATACTTTAAAGTCGTTTTTCATAAATTTGTGTAACAGTTGAAAATGTCAGAATTATCTCTCTCTGGCTTGCTCACACTTCTCACTGGTGACTTTCCCTTGCAGGCTCTGTCTTGTACTAGCCCTATCTGGTGGTTGACAACCATGCAACAGTTTCTCTGCTGCAACTTTGCACCCCCAAATCAGAAGAAGGTATGAAACATAATTACAAACTGTTAAGATTTTATGTTCAGGATACTTATTCTGGCCACACAGGGTATTTTCCATATGAACTTGCTCTAAACACATTAGAGGCAGCTATTTAACTTCCAGATGTCTGATGAACTCTGACTGAGAAATGGAATGCTACGTTAAGAGAAAAACAAGCCCTGTAGAAGAAAGGAAAGGGAAAAGGAATTGGTTTCCTTCCTCATTTGTTTCTTTTGAAGACTGAACTGCAGCCTACTTCTGCTTTCTCTTTAAAAAGGCAGAAACCTTTTATTCCTTAGCATTAGGATGAAAACAAAGTGTTTGACTAAGGAATCAGTGTGAGCAATTATTTCTAATATTCTACCAACATATGCTGAAATCTAGATGTGCTGGGTCACCATATAGGATAATTAAAAGTCTTGGAATAGAAGAGTCAGGGTCAATCCTTAACACCATCACCTAAGTAGATGAGTTGTTTCAGCTCACGTTGGAATCTGAGCTGTACTTCCCCAATTCTAGATAAGGCTCAAAATAATAAAGAATGTATAAGGGGTCAGAGGTGTAACTCAGTGGCAGAGTACGATACTGCTATATATTTGGCTATGTGTTTGCTACCTACCACAATAAAAAATTAAAAGAGAGAGATAGAAATAGAGAGAAATTAAATTCACGCTTGTGTGATTCCTGCATGTTTGATAATTTCCCCCTGTATTATATAAAATCTGTGAAAGACTTCACTTGGAAAAAATTTTTTTCTACAGGAATCTGTGCATAAGAAAGGCCAAGCACTACTGACACGTAGTGTAAAGTTCTGTGTATTCTAATGATGACGCCCTAGCTGCTGGAGTAGCACTGGTTTATACCATGATGAATGTCTATCAAATGAGAGGGTGGAGACACTGCTTGGTGTGTGTGTGTATGGTATTCACCCGGAGTTCAGGTGTATATGGAGAGGGTTGTTTTATGAAAGTAAATTAGACATGGATGATAGCAGTTTCTGCTTCCCTTAAATGTCTTTAAAAACTAAAAGTGACACTCACTTTAAGCATAAAGCTTAAGTCTTGGGAAAACCTGTGGAATATATTTTTGATAACTCTTTTAATATATATATATATATATATATATATATATATATATATATATATATATGCACATGTATGTATATATACAGTTTTCCCCTCAGAAGTCAGAATTACAGTTTATGAATTAATGCCATTTTCTCCCATTGTTTCAAGTATAAGGCAGAGGGCACAGGACTGACAAATTTTTAATGAATGTTTTTAAAAATAGTTGTCAGCCATTTTGAGTGTCATTAGATTTAAAGGGGATATTGCTGTTCTACAAAAGGAAAACTAATGTTTCCAGAACAAAGTTCAGTCCTTTATAGAAAAAGGCCTAGTTAGGGAAACTCTTGACATTATTTTTGAGCATCTCATTTCGCTGCTAGACAGTTAAACTCCGCAATGGGTTTGTAGACCACGTTTGAGAATAGCTCTTTTTGATTAAAAGCCACACGGGCCCCTGAAAAGCCACACCCTCAGCACCAAGCAGATGTGATCAGGCAGGTAAGCTCTCCATCTAGTAGGAGTAGCGGACAGTGACTCAGACCAGAGTGTGATGTTCAAATCTGCCCCTGCCTCTGGATACAGGACCTTGATTTCTAAGTTTCACCACCTTCTGAAGTTCACTGGGAATAATAAAAACATCCATGACAACTGTGTGAAGTGAATGGGAGTAATTCTTCCAAGAACTGTCAGAGTCAGCCTTTGTGTTGCTTAACAATGACTGCACTGGCATAGAGCTGATGATCAGAATAGCATCTTAATTCTAATTTCTTCTTATTGACTCCTTTCGCTTCTCTGGTTTTCAGTTCTTACCACAGTGAACTAGAGGCAAAGATATCTAACCCTCAGGCTATTTTTGTACAATCTAAATGAGATAATGTGTGTGCTTATTCTGTTTGGCAAATATACATCTGAAAGTGAGTAATCTTAATTGTCTGTTTTGGAACTCTGCTTAGACATATTGTGAGAGAATAGAGAAATAAAACTAATGAAGACATTAATACAAAAAATAAATCCCAGCTTCTCCCCCACGTAGGTTTGCATTTCCAGGTGCCTGTCTCCCCATCATTTCTTTGTCTTCCACACCTCTTTCCTATCTGTCACCACTGCGGATAAGTCTGAAGCCACACCTTTTCCATATTAATATTATATCTTGCAAGCTAGAAGTTTCTGGACAGTGATGGAATAAGACAGAGAGGAAAATTCTCCTGTATTATTGTGAGCCTGACTTCTTAATGATGACCTTCAAATTCCCTACGAAGCTGGATAATGTGACGTAAAGTAAGTCCTACCTCAATAGTTTTTCTCTTACTGCTCTAAAATTCATCTGTACCACTTAGAGAAAAAATTAGTTTTAGATGTACACATGTTTTACACTAGAATGTAAGACATGTGTAAGACAAGCAAGCGGAAGAGGTGAAATGAATGTACATGGAGATATAAAACAAATAAACAAAAAGAGACATAATCAATAAAAACCACTTTGCAGAAGACTGAGTAGCTTACATGCGCTGGAAGGACTTACACACAGTTTCCTTTGGGATTCTGAATGGACTGTCCCACTCCTGGTGGCCCCTCACCCCTGTTTGCCCAAGTACACAGAGTACCAAGGTAGTCATCAGATAGGGAAATGAGACTGTCCAGGGACATGGAAATTAGCTGTCAGGTTCCAAAATAGAGCTTGGAAAGTTTATCATCTCTGAGTGAATAGGAAAATTGAGCAGTTTTAGACTAATTAAAACTCAACGTGTTTTCATTTGCCATTTTGGGCCCATATATTTATTTTCCCCTCCACACCATAAAAACCGCAGATACCATGGGTTTCTGACTAGCTCTCATGGAAACAGGCAAAATGTAGTTTTGAGATTCTTTTTAAGGTCCAGTTAAGAGTTTAATATTTTTGATGGAAATTTTTAAATAATACAGCAACTTGTTTGCAGTTGACCTTGTTTCTATTTTTTATTAATGAAATTGTCAACTTGGACAAGCACAATTTTTCCTTCTGGTAAAGCATAGTACACAGTGGAATACAATAAACCTGAGTATAAGCAGGAGAGCTCCAGAGAAAAATATTTAGAATAAGGGAAACCTTATGTAAAAGCAAAAGATATTTACAGTAAGTGAATGAAATTTGGCTGTCAGAAATTTAATAGTAAGTACATGTCTCTTTTCTGATTTACTTACACCCGGGATCTCCGTGGAGCCATTTTCAAATCCGCTGTGCAGTAGCCGTGCTCTCTTGATTTCTCCTCGTGTGGAAGGTGCTCTAACGGCACTTACCTTAGGTGGATGCTGCAAATATCAAATGGATTAGAATCAATGAAAGGCACCTAGCATTAGAGCCTCATAGTATGTTCTATGTAAGCGGTAGATATATTTTTCATGATTATTTTTACTGATATGTTTTAATAAACATATCCATTTTGTATACATGGTTTCTTACAATTTCTTAATTAGTTCTCAAATCATTCTTAAGTTTTGTGAACCTACCATTTACAGGTTAGTTATAATGATATAATAGCTTCTTCTTTCAGATAGTTTTACACTGAATACTAAGTCTTTAATATCTTTAGCTACAATATAAAGACTGACATTTTGGAATTAACATTCAAAAGCATCATTATTGCTGATAATATTTTTTTTTTCCTGAAGAGAGTTAAGCACAGTGTATCCTTCATGTAGAAAGCAAAATCTGTGGGCATGGAGCAAAATGTTAGTAGATTTGAGCTTGGAGGATTATCAAAAAATAGCGAGAGAGAGAGAGAGAGAGAGAGAGAGAGAGAGAGAGAGAGAGAGAGAATGAATCTGGGGTGGCTCAACCAAAGGGGCTTTTTCTTAAGAAGGAATATATCTGGACCACATGACATTACTGTGTGCATTTTAAGTACTGAGCATACCAGGATAATGGAACAACCAAGGTAGGCCACTCCTGTCATGTGTTTCATTCTCTTCTCATCCATGAGTACAGCTGTGCATGAGGCTTTCTGCAAATGCTCATGGCTCCCAGTGAACTTGTCTGGAGAAAGCACTGGGCGTGGAGTCAGAAGATTGGGATTGCCCTGGCAGAAGGTGGTAACCTTCTGCTGGATGGGGGGAAGTGGTGGACTATGAAACTTCTGCTGTGGTTTCCTTCTTAATGAAAGCTTTGGGTTCCTGATCTTAATAAAGGTAAAATATTAATTACCAGGAAAACATATGGCATCACCTTAAAGGCAGAAGTGCTGTTTTAACAAATTAAAATGCAGCCCAATGAGATCATAACATTCAAATTGGACATCAAGCTGCTGCTCCTCAAATGTGCCTAGGTATTAATATTTCAGTAGCTAAACAGAAAAGCCAAGTTTCTCCCTGACCTTCTATTCACTAAGACAACATTTCCAATTTGTAAGAATATGTATTTTCCTCATGGGATACAATAAAATTATTTTTATTTTCAATGGGAAAAGAAGCAACCTAGTAAATTCTTATTTTTTCCTGAATTGGCCCCCAAGCTATGATCATTTGCTTCGTTGGGGTTTCGCCTTAATTCCATCTTTGCAGTCTATGTGATGTTAGGAATGAAAAAGTGTTCTAATATTGTCCTGACCTTTTAGCCTTTTAGTAGGCCCAGGCAAGAAGGTGCTGAAGCAGTTTGCATTACTGTGTGCTCTGTACCAAGAACTTTTTGAGTCTTGGACTAAAGAGATTCCATCCAAAAGCCCATAAACGTCAATATTTTCTGCAAGACACCCTTATGCCTGCCTAGAATTCTACCTGTCCCACATAAGGACAGAAAATTATTATACTGAAAGTTGGGTTAATTAATATATGAGTTGAGTCAGTTTAAAATTAAATTTGGCAGCAATAAAATTTGTCTTTCTTTTACCTTTGTTGCCTGAGATGACTTCATAGAAAAGCACTCAAGAGAGAAAATCTCCTTAAATAACCAAGCTTTTCTTTAGGAATCATTATTATTTATTATTAAGTGGATATTTTCTCCATTCTATCCATAGGATAACCACTAATTATTTTTGAGCTCCAGAGAAGTACAAATGGAGTGATTTATGTTTTGTGGCCATTAAATTGCTGTGTGTTAATAATTTATAAATTAATTTGACTACTCTTTAAAAAGAGGAGCTAGTCAAATAACAAAAACTTTACATTTTAAATCAATATTACATTTCACATTTGGTTGTTGTGAAGAAACGTCTGCTTATATATTTAGGTACCCAGAACGTTTCATTGGGTGGGGGTTGTGCTATTCCAAGCTGTGTCAAAAGGTTGGAATTTGGGAATAAATGCAGTCACAGCTCCTGTAGGTCCAGTGGGTAGAATGCCAGGCTAAAAGTCTCCAGGGAGACCAATTGTCTGTCATGCCCGTGGAGAGGGGTTCCTTACCTCATCTGTTACAGAGGCTTGACCATCCACGATGATTAATATTCTAATTATAGGATTTTTCAAAGGTCTTCAAGTCACCATCAAATGCCATTAATTGGAGTAGCAGAGAAAAGGAGATTAATCAATCTTAAGTTTGAATTGTCGCTCTGCCACATTCAGAAAGCCATGAATTTTCTCACGTTTCTAATCCTGCTTTCTCATTGATGGATTGAGTTTGATAGTACCTTATAAGGACACAAGATACTATAACAGCATCCTGAGAAGTGACGAAACAGTGCTGTATGCAGCACACAGTAGGCCCCTATGGACTGTCGCTGCTTTTGTTGCTATTTTGTTGTATATTCCAAATCATCAGGAGGCCCTAGGTTATTACAGAAGATAGATTTTCTGTTTAGTGAGTCGCTTCTGGTTCTGCTCTATACTGGGAAAATAAGATATTCTTGTTTCCCCCTTGCACACAAAGGTATAAATAGCGCTCGAGAAGCTTTGTCCTTATGCAAGAAGCAGAAGTAGAAATGTCCTTAAGGATCCACAATTCAAACCTGCACATATGTAATTTACATCCAATTTCCTTATGTAAAATAGTGCAGTGCTTGATTATAATCCAAAGCACACCCCCTGTCATACTTTTAATCATACCCAGACTGCATGGAATAACTGCTATAATGTAAATACTGTTTAAGGGAACTGTGTTACGTTTTAATTATGTGTAGGTGCATATGTCGGTGGTATGCACATGTGAGTTCAGGTGCCTGCAGAGGCCACTGGTATACAATCCCCCTGCCTGGAGCTGGAGTTACAGGCAGCTGTGAGTCATCTGACATGTGTTCTGGGACTTGAACTACGTCCTCTGCAAGAGCACTATGTACCTTAACCATTGAGCCATCTCTCCAGCTACTATAGATGCTATTTAAATATTTGCTCAGCTTCCCTTGTTTAGGGAATAGCTACAGGGGAAAAAAACAGTATGCTCACATTCAGCACAGATTTAATTTTTCAAAAGACACTTTTAGCAGGGGTGTAGAAATCCATGGCTGCGACCCCATAGACAATGGGTGTCTGCTTAGTGCTTTAGAGGGATGGGAGGGGACACTGGAAACAGTTCTGCATGTTCAGCTGGAGTGATGGGTTCAGAGCTGTGAGTGATGCTTTCAGTGTTTACAGAAGAAAACACGATTTGCTCCACAGGTTGACACAGACTCCAGCCTGAAGCAGGAGAATGGGTGTAATGTGCTTCAAAATGAAAATGAATTATTAATTTGGAGGAAAGATTACAGAGAAATATGTTAAAGCCTTAAGACAATTGCAGGTTGATACTTTAAAAGAAAACTCCAGGCTTCACTGTGACAAAAACCACTTCAGGAAAAAAAAGTCAGCATCTTTACGGCTAAATTTAAGTAAGTTTTAACTCGTCCCTATATGAGCATAGAAAGCTGTCTGGATTTTCTGAGACGATTGGAAAACAGATGACTGTCATTTGTAACCCTGAACGGAGAGAAGAGAAGTTACCACATAGTCACAACAAAAGGGAAATGTCAACAAACAGCTAGAAAATATTTCATCTTATCCAAAAATTGACACATTTGTCCTGAAAACTTGTATGCAACTTCTAAGGACATAGCCATTCTGAAAATAGTTTGTATATGCTGAAATACTAGAATCCCGAGAGGGCTAGTAAAGCTTTTGTTGGCCTTTCCCCAATATGCTAAAGAGAATATTTACATAAAAGTAAATATACATATATCATATGTGTGAGAGCATGTGCATGTACACACACACACACACACACACCCACACACACACACACACACAGAGTCATTCACACAGTTTCCCATGCACAGAGCCTGTGGAGAGTCTTTAAAGAAGGCTCTTTGATAAGTTAAACACCCCAGGTGTCTGCAGTTTTCCAAGTTACTGTGCTGTTTCTTGCTTTGGAAGGCTATTTTTGTATTGCTTTTTGTTTTTGTTTGTTTATTTGTTTTACAATCTAGTTTCCTATCTGTAACACAGTTTCATGTCTCCCTTCTTTATTCAGCTTTCTATGAGCTGTCATTTTAATGACAACTCATGTTCTCTTTAAAAGGATCTCATTCCTGTGTTACCCACTTCAGAGCACCAAGGAAATAGAATTATCATATTATTCCTTGACCAAATAATAAGCATTTAGTAAATATTTACTGAGTATTAAAATGTAAGTGATGGTATCAGGATAAAAACATTTGTGTTATGGGGGAATAATTAACATTCTCTGAGGGATGGATGTAGGTTAGATCTGAAATGCTAAATTCTGAAGCTCCAGACAAATAAAGGACAGCTCCAGATCCTGAGATAAGAACTGTTGGAAGAAGCAAAAATCAAAGCAAAGCAGCCTAGCAACTTTATATAAGTGGATAGACAGACAGACAGACAGACAGACAGACAGACAGACACACACACACACACACACACCAGTTTTGAGGCAATAGAGTGTAAACTGAGGTTGACAAGCAAGGGCATAAAGGTTAAAAGTGAAGGATGGACCTTAATCTAGAGTCAATTTTTCTAGTATAATTGCAGCCCCTGAGCTAGAGTTAAGGAGCTGCTGAGTTTTTCTCCATACCATTGATGGGGGAAAATTAAATGGGTTTTTATCGTGAAGTGTCTTAAGTAGTATTCTTAAAAGAGGGCTACATCCGTGGACAATAACTGAACAATTTTGAACAGAGGATGACAAGATCAGAGCTTGAAAGTAATTCTGGTTGTGTTGTAAATTCAAGACACAGGGACTGAAATGTGTCTGAATGTTGGGAGAATATTTAAATATTTTAATAATGGTAATAAAAGGGATGGCTGAAGAGCTGTTGAAAAAGCTTAGCATCTGTCAGAAATCAGAAGTACCCCAATATTTGATAATTTGAGAGAAAAGAATACACTGCCAAACAGAAATATTAGTGCAACAATACAGTTAAATATTGATTACAGAAATATTGATTGCGTTGCACTGAACCAGGTACTTTATTTCTTTGAGAACTAACTCCTTATGGTTAAAGAATCCGAACTATTCTCATACATAGGACACTAACATGCATGCATTCTTTAAATAGAAACTTCCATCAGGACAGAGTAAAGTCAAGTGTCCACAGGTGCCCGCAGGTGTTGGCAGCTGGGTGGAGCTACAGGCGCCGTCTAGAAAGAACAGTGGGCTCCTATGTATCTTGCAAGCTAGCTCCGTGTCAGGGACTTTTACTGTGTTCTTTGATAACCATTTTCTCTTTTAAATTCATTTTTTTCAGGAATAAAAGTAAACCACATTCTAAACACACACACACACACACACACACACACACACACACACCCCTGCACACCACACACATTGCTCTTGAGAAACTGATTTGAGAAAATTGTGCTTGACAGTATGAATGAACATACAGCTATGAGACTTTCTACAAATTCTTCCTCAATGTTCCAACCCCATGATTTACTTGACTAAAAAACAAAGTTGCAAGCTCTGTAACCTCACCGATAGGTCTGTTTTCTAACCTTACACATTAAAGCCAGAAGCAGATGATCTTCTGTGTTTTGATCAAATCTAAAACAATGTAGGACCACTGTAGCAACACCAAATATTACCATTGGGTTTTTCTTCAGTTGGAGCTCGGGAAGACCACATCGACACTGAAAGATACATCGCTGTCATATACCAAACCATGCTTTTAATTATACTGAAGATGAGAAAAATGCCAATGTCTGCCTGAAATAATCATCTATTTATTTATGCTCATTTTTTTACTAGATGCAACAT